AACAGTGCCATTCTCCTAGAATTTCTTACTGGTGTCTGTAAAATAAGAGAAAGGAAATTCACATGAGAACTATCTTCATTTTCCACAGACACAGATTTTTATTACACTTATCAATTAATGCTTTTCTAGTCAGAGAGATCTGCATCTGCATCTAACTTGAAAGAAAAAAAAAAGATAAAAATAAATTACGTAATTCTTTTTGGTGTTGATCTGAAACAGGCTAATTCCATTTTTCCTAATTAAAAATGTCCCAACCTGGAATCACAGGTAGATATGAATTTAGAGCTGCCAGAGAATGCTAACTAGTGCATAGAAAATGCTTTTTTTTTTTTTTTTCTGAAAACAGTCATTCCCAAGACTGGCAGAACCAGTTAATGACGTGCGCACGCCTGTGTGCGTGTGTCTGTGTGTGTCTGTGTGTGCCTCTCTCCTCATTTCACTGGTAAAAATCAGCTGTTGTGAATTGCCTGCTGTATTTGGACCTTCAATGTTGTTCACAGGTTATCCAGAAGCAGAAAGGATAGCAAGCTGCATTGGTTAACTCTAGTAAACGCCAAATGCACTTTTGTTTCTTGAAGAACATTTTATACCTAATTAGGCATAATACTTCAAAATACTAGCCAGATCCCTGAACCCACATCCATTGCTTCCTCTTACATTTAAATGGATTCTATTTTTTTAAAAAAGAAAATCTTATTTTAGACAGCCCAGTACAGACACATTTGCTTACAAGTCTGTATTGTCTTACAGGTATTTCATGCAAAATTGTGCAGGAGCAAAAGCTGATCCTGAGGAAACGGAAATGTAAGAAGTTCACAGACTTCTCACTCCTCTTTACAGGAAATCAGATTTGCTTCTCCACTAAAAAGGTTTTTTAAGTCTTACCTGCAAAGTGAAGACCACGCACTCCAAGATGAGGTGTAGTAGCGATCCCGAGCCTGCACAGAGATCTTGTCTTTTGGGCCAGTCCTTGGAATCTGAACATGCTGCTCATCAACCTCACGAATCTGCAAACAGAGCACAGGTCCTTCAGTGGATGGTGGGGGGCAAGCCCAGAGCTAGGGCCAGGTACATGCAACAAGCAGAGGCAATTCCAAACCCACTGGTAACCTGTTGTTTCGAAAGCACCAGTCTGCTCCCACAGGTGTCAACATCATGAGGGACTGTGAGAACCTCAGGCTCACAGAAACCAGAAAGTCCACTTTCCATTGAAGTTACTAAAGGGATCCTAATTCAAAACTGAAACTTAAAAAACAGGGTGGAAAATTTAAAATGGGGTTTATTTTATATCAGGGTTTTCTTCTTGTTTTTCTTCTTTTCCCAAAACATGAGCTTCAATGGACAGAAGTTCTTGATTTTCAGTATCCATGAGATTTCCCTGAGGACTTTTGGCTGGTACAAGAAGCAGTCCTAAAACTGGCCAGTTTCACTGCTTAAGATATAACAGACAACACTGTGAAATTCAAAGAGTCAGCACTGGGGGAATGGCCCCATCTGCTGGTAAAAGTTTACTTTTTTGTTTGTTTAATCAGCTGACCTACAATTACACATATTGGTTTAATTTCCAGGTTGCTGCTCCCAAGAAGAGCTGCACTGCAGGTACAATCTTGCAGTGTGGTTCATGGACTTCGTTCTAGTTCTGCAGTTGACTTCTTTGTCAACCCTAGGCAAATCACTAGAATGCTGTTTTACAAAGATATTTTGTGATTTAAGGCTAATACTTAGCCTTTAGTAGATTAGTAATTTTTAGTTAATAAATAATAATTGGGAAGTGAATGGCAAAGGCTGTAGTCTCCACAGAAATGCTACCAAATGAATCATTGATTCCCTATTTGATCATTCCCCTGTAAAGAAAATCTGAGCTAGCCAAGTACAAACAACATAAAAGGAACTCAGTGCAACAGATCTTAGACTTCTTGATTTTGAAATTGGGGTTTTCCCAAATTAGGACCCACACAACCCCACGTGTGAATTAGCAGAGACTTTTCTCACGCTACACAGGTATGCAATCTGGGCATGGTGTTAGCTCCTGGTTACGTCAGGATTGCATCCGCTGCAGCGTGTCTGGTTTGGGCCTTAGAGCTCCCTGAACTGGGAGGAAGATTGTTTTCTTTCAAGATAGAATCTTACCACATTTGGGGCTTGGCATGAATCTTGTGTACTAGGCTTATATTATTTGAGCTGTTTGTTAAAGCAAGAAAAGCTCATTTTGAGTGCTGTACCTCTGGGTTCATTTTGTGTCTCTTTGTGCTTTCAACTTTGACCCTGAAAGTCAAAGGGAAGTAGGACTTTGGTGTGCTCCAAGTTTTGGGGTATGTCCAGGTCACTGTTCCATTTTTGGCCACGTAGTGACATTTTGGTGGATCAGGTTTTACTGCAAGACAAAATATAGAAGGCATTAGGTCTCATTAGCAGCATGGTATCAGATACTGGTGTCCTATTGCTGACATTTTATAAGAATCAGCCCCGGAGTCTCCAGTAGATTAAGACAAGAATATGTAAGATCTGTGTTTCACATGGAAAATTAATCGCACTCCACGAGGTTTTACATTTTATTTTTTATTTATTTATTTTTTTGCCTGGAGGGTTGCAGAGGGCTTGGTCAGACAAAAGACTACCTTCAAACCCTGCTGACTGTTGGGACATTTAGCAAAGCATCAGTTCCCTTCGGATCCAGCCTCACCACTATGTGAGCCACTGGTAAGTCTGCAGCTCCAAGAGAAGATCCTGCTCAGTTACTGATTGCTTTCTGACTGGGAGACCCGATGTCCCTTCCCAAACATGTCCCTCTCATACAGACTGCTATGGAAATTTCTGGGAGATGTGAGAAAGAGAGAGTAGGAGGTCACAAGCTATGGAGATCTTGGTTCTTTACTTCCTCCTCTACTTCCGGACTGCTGCTATGATTTGTTTTCCCCTGATTTACAGTACAATAGGGCAGGGATTCCCAAGTGTAGTTTAGTTAATTACCATTATTAGTTCCACTCTCAGCGACAACAAGAATAAAGCTAAGAATAAATAATGATTTCTGGTGTACGCACTGATATCTCTGATGAAGAAGCTGCTCGTATAGTTCTCATACTCCACCTCATCGATGACCTCCAGGAACATCTCAGTTGGCTGGTGCTCTTCAGCGAATGGGCAGTAGTTCTCTTTCTGGCACTGGGCTGTGTATTTAATCACTGTGTCACCAGTGTGAGCCACAGGGCTGCTGCAGGTTACATCTTGAGAGCTGAGCAGAGAGCAAAAGGAGGTATTGGAAATGCTGGCTTGTTCTGAGAAGTTTGGTTCACACTGGCATCTTGTAGTTGGTAAGATTATATTTCCTGCTGCCTGAATCATTCTATGGCTTCACTGTAACCACTGCAAACACAGTCTGGTGGGCAGTCTTACATTTTCAGAGATTGATAAAAAGACATGTTCCCCCTTAGCAGAAGAATTTGTGTTTAAAGTTAAAACAGAGTATGTCCTTTTCTTCTTTATTACCACTGTTCCATGACAAGCTCTGGTATTTGTTCCTCAGCCCTCTCCATAGCATCGCTGGAAAAAGGCAGGGTTAAAATGCATTCATTGGGAAACAAATAGCAAAAGCCAGCTATAAACTGGTACCTGAATCCGGCTCTATTTTCGCATTCACTGAAATAAAACACTTTGCAGATATTTCCTCTTTAACAAACTGAAATAGCCTCTGCCTGAGTACTCCATGTTTTGGAGAAACCCCCAAGATTAGTGGGAGGTAGGAAATCCCCGGAGGGTTCCCCTCACACATTTCCCTCACAGGTTTCTGCAGTGACCCTCAACTGAGGCCTGTCAGTGGACATGTGGTTTTTGCAGTGGGCGAAGCCTCCCACTGCTCTAGTGCCACTGGAGCTGCTGAGCAGGGACTCGGTGCTATGATTGCTTCTACTTTTGGCTTAACTTCCTCTCTCTCCCCTGCATGGACAGTTTTTGCTATTGCTTAAGTGACTCTGTGACTGTACAGAAGAAGCTGTAACAATCCAGTGTGGGTTGTTCCATGGTCAAACCTTTATTAATTCCTGAGAAATTTCCAAGCTCTTATTAGTTAAGTAGGTCCCTGTGACTGCCCCAAACCCTTTGCACATGTTCACACTCTGGGAGTGGGATTCTTCCCCTTCTTTATGTTCTCAGTTGGCAACCCACAATCCAGAATGTCCACAGAGTAATACTGAAGGCTACTTTACGAGGTGGATGAGGAAAGTACAAGCTCTTACCCTTTGAGACTTCTGATTGAGAACTTCATGCTTGGACTCTCATTTTCTGTCATCCATGAACATATGAAAATTCCAGAGTAATTCTTTGCCTCACATTTTAAAAATGTTCCTTTTGGTTCTAGATGGAAAAAGAAAGAAAGCTTTTTTTTTCCCCCCAAGTCCAAGCAGAGAGAACACAGTAACTCAGCACCATCCCATCCACTTTGGCAGGCAGACACAAGCTTAGGCTACCCAGGGTACAGCAATTTCTAGTTAAAAAGCCATGTAACTACATTTAGCGGTCAAAGGCTGGTCTACATAGCAGCACATTGACCACATCTACACGGCTGCTGATAGGAGCTAGCATGTACCCAAGCTGCTATCCATGTGGATGCCTGATGAGCCTGTCATTAAAAGCTCTATGTAGACAAAGAGATTATTTCTTTCACAGAGAAACTTTGCAGCAAACAAAGCAAGTCGATTGCTTCCTCACCAGAAAAGTAGTAGGGATGTATTGATTTTATTCCATGATTTTCATATCAGTCTAATCACTCCTACTGTTACTGTATTCTATGGGTCTAGAAAGTCCTTAATTAATCCCAAATGACAACCCATTCCCATTTTTTCAAATCAGATGCAAAATACACACACGAATACAAAAAAAGCCGTTACTTGCATTTGAAATGGACTCATTTTAAAGCATATATTTCTCATGCAGCTCCCCAGAGAGATCCCTTGGGTTTGCAAAGTGTAAAGCTGAACAAAAACACACCATAACATCCTATGACCTTACCTTTAAAACTTGTCAGAATTGATCTCATCATTTGTCCATCTGAGTCTATTTTAGTTATGAGGAAAAAACTGTAGCTGATGATTTCATGGGTGTCAGCTGCCAGACAGGTGTAGTTGCCAGCATCTGGGAATTCTTTGACTTCAGCAATCAGTGTCTTTCCAGTTCCTCTCACTTCTGTGTCCTTTTTCCAGTAAACAGACAGTGCTTCATTGGTTGTGTTACAGGTGAGCTCTACTTTTGTGGCTGGTGCCTCATCGCTCCACTCGGATTCGATGACATATACTGGACATTGCAGAAAAGGGAGTTAGCAACTGTTCACACTTTGCAGTGGTAATAAGGATTGAACTGAACCCTTTATTCAGCTTCACTCTCCAGAACTGACAAATGTCTTCCTCTATTGCCCCCTGGGTCCTACTGTCACTTGGAAATCTTCCCTGTAAGAAGTTGTTTAACTTAAAAAGTTACAGTGCATCTAGAAATGGTTGATCAGTAGAGATAACCTTTTAATTGAAGGAAAAGGGTTTTTTCGGTATTTCAAGAGAATCTTATAGTAGTTCATAGCCCTAGGAAGTAGGCAGGTACCTCCGTTTTACAGAGGAGGATGCTGGGGCACACGGAGCCCCTGATCCCTCCTTCACATGGCCCTTGGCCTTTGCTGGCAGAGTGGCCTATAGAACCCCTCGGTTAGCACCAATTCCTTGGCTCCCAGAAAGGGCCTCCTCAGAGCCAACGGCTGGTGAGGGAGCAGTGGGATGGAGGACAGCTCCAGGAAAGGGATTCACCCCATCTGATGCTTTATTCCCTTTTATACAAGGAGTGATATGGATTCCTAACACCATTGGTCAACATGGAGTGATTACTAAGAGCCACAGCAGAGATAAGAGGACTGCAACAAAGAAGCAGTCTCCTGAGAGCTGTCTTGTATCTCTGAAGTACCATTGGTCACTCCAAATTAGGAGAAATTCCACATAATAAAGTAATTTTGAAATAATTCCACTAAAACTATGTTATCTTCTCCTGTCTCTTTGCTGTGGTTTCACATGAGAAGTAAAGTAGTAGTCAGGTTGACTACAGAACTTCACCTGCACTTTCATGTGGCAACGTATCTCAAAATGTAACTATTTTGAGCTACTGCTTAGATGCCACTGCTGTTACAGGCTCCCAAACATCCTCAGAGACTGTTTTGCGTACTAGAACAGGCAAAAATCTGTTTCTTGTGCGTCAACACCTCAGAAAACATTCAGCTCAGGTAAACACAGTTTCAATATTGATCTGTAAGACTTTCTCACTAGGATATTTCACTACCAAAACGAGAGCATTAAGACTTCACAACAGAGAAGAGACACTAAGAAACACAAGTCAAATGCTGTAACTAAAATGGCGGAGTACATGCAACTCTTCTTACCAAACTGCTTATGGATATTTGAAGCACAGGCAGGGTAAATATTAAAGATTTCAAACAGAAAGATATAAAAGTATACTTTCAATATGGTGACAAAAATATCTGAAGTTTTCAGTACAGTGGCATTGCTCAGGGAACCCACAGGATTAATCCTTTCTTAATATAAAGATACTGAGAAAGGTAGTTGAATTATTCTTTAGAAATAAAACACT